AATTTCTTTTTATTCATTTTATGTCTCAGTCCCTTGACTTCCTGGAGAAAAAAAATCCTCAACTTTATCTTCCAAATATTGTACATATTTTAAAATATTTTATGTACATCTTCAGTATAAAAATAAAATTGTATTTCCCCACATTTTTTTTACTTATACTTTTTTGAGGTTAAATCTTAGTTCATATATTTAATGCACTTGAGTCTTAAAACTTACATACTGTGAAATGAGATACTAAGTATGTAAATGAATTTCATTAAAAGTAGAAAAATAGGTTAAACCTAGCATGTAATGACACATACTTCTTATGTTTATTTGGATTTTACCTTCTAGAACTTTGCAGATAAAATGTAAGAAAACGAATTTTTATTCTGATTTCCGAATTCCAGCTAGTGAGCTCTTTGTAGGTATCTTTTGAGTCAAATAAGCTACACTCATCCTAGAGTCGTGTTACAAATAAATACATGTGTAAAGTTGAGGATTGAGACCTCTATTTCCAAAGCAGCTGAAATCCATAACTAAAGACTACTGCAAAGACTCTTTAAACCTGCGGTAAATTTACCAGCATCAAGTCCTATATCAAAGAATGAATTCAGGAAGACAGAAAGAATGATACCGAAATGCCAAGAGACTTGCAAGGATTTACAAATACTTCATATAAACAAATTTTCAAATAGCTTTATTCAGAGTAGCCTTTCTGCTCTATTAAACATAGCAAACAGCTGCCAGATTTATTCAGACAAATAATCAACAACCATAGAAGTAAAATGGCAGAAGAAAAAGGAATTTTGGCAACAACTCCACAGAGGACCACAGCTATTCTCCGAGTGCACCTCTTTCATGCACTTACGGTTCTGTATGGCTAGTCAGGGAAAAACCCTTCAGTCACAGCAGAGCACAAAAAATTTGATCGAAATATCAAGTATATGAAAGCAAAGCTAAGGGAGAGAAAGGGCATATGATAATCTGCTGCTTTAGATATACCTGAGTTGCAATTTTCAAAACAGGAAAATCCCCTTAACAATAAATGTGCCAAAGCCTCATGCAGTCACCTGTGTGCCACTCACCTGGGTGTGCTGAGCAGGTATAAAGTAGGCTTTAGTCAGCAAAGGGTAAGAACAGCAGATATAAGAATCAATTCAATTTATCAGCAGAAAAAGAAAGTAACAGGGAGAATTTTCTTCTATGGCAATAATCAACTTCCAAGAAAAGCAAATACAAAGTCATTCTTGTTTCTCATGTACAACGAGTTTAGTACGAGGGGTTTTTTTTTTGTTGTTTGTTTGTTTTGTGGGCTTCTTCTACATCATGTCTTTATCATTGTGGATAGCAAAAGGATTAGAGTTGAAAGAAAAGTCATGGGCAGTACAATTCCAGGAAGCATGTCACTCTCCTTATGCTTAGATATTGGTTTGTGCCTAGCACATGGGGGAGCTATGAGTGCAAACTCAATTTTGACAACAAAATATTTTCTGGCAGCTTGATGGATAGCACTTAAAATTTCAAACAAAGGGATCATTGTTTGATAACCCCCCTCTAAGTAAACAAAAACAGCCTACATTCACATTAAGTCTTGAAAATTGTTGACTACGGCATTTAGCTATGCCCTTGCTTAAGAAATGCTATCCTTAATATACAAATATGATCAGAATTATTTTCCTTTATTTATTTGCTTAAGAAAAAAACCCCTCATTTTTATGGATTTGATCTAACTATAGGTTATTAATATTTGCACAGTGCTGAAAATATTTCCTTTTAAGGAGCCTATTTGAAAACATTTCAGCTCTCACATATTCTGACAACCTAGCATTTCCTTAAAAGAGAATTATGTAAAAATAGTAGAGGTACTTTAATGCTATAATTAGCACTATATGTTGGAAGGTAAGGCACTTTGAGGGGAAAATACATTATTAGTACCTGAAAAACAGTTCTGTAATGGCAAGAAGTGCAAAAAATACAACATTTACAGTGTTCAGACTTTGTCTTTTCACTAACATAAAACACATTAATATATTATCAAGATGATAAAACAACTCTGAGGATTAAAAAGTTGATTCAGGGTCAATTTATTATTTTGAAGACATTAACCAATTTTCAAACATTTGAGGAATGTAGGTAAACATATACTTTTAAGGTTATTTCATAAGAGGAAAGCATTAGCAGAAAATTGGAAAATTATGTGCTGACTGTTAATGGCTACATATATATATATATATATATAAATTCATTTTAGAGCCTGGCCAGGGAAATGACCACATTTTCTTTGGGATACAAACTCATGATAACTGTAATCACTTACCTTGCTCTTTCTTAAAATCTTTCTCTGACATGACCACAGGTAAAAGTAGTTCTCCAACAGGTGGCTGAATATTAACACTGAAGCAATCATCCTTGGTACTAAGGAGAACACACATCAACGTATTTAATTGACTAAATGCTTAATAAGTAGACATTCTAAATATTACATGTCCAAGTAGATGAGGTTAAGCCCAAATTAATATATGTATTATAAGACCTTCTTTGTTTAAATAACACAGCTAAAAAGGTGTGAAACGTTTCTTCATCAATATTATTTCCAGAAAAATTACACCTATCATTTAAAATAGAAAACACTTTTTATCATAAAAAAAAATACAAAGCTACAGTAAATGATACCATTTGACACAAAGTTTAAAACAAAACAGGCCTGCAGCACTGGCATACTAACTACTACCACAGAAGCACACTAAGGAGCTTATGGAGTAAGGGGTTTATTTAACCTTCTCTTTTGTGTGCTTAGGGGGAGCTGTTGGTGGTGCAGTCTATAGGGTACTGCACTGCTAACTGAAAGGCTGTGTTCCCCAGTGGTTTTGAATACTTGGGAGAAAAGGTGCAGTCTCCTCCAATTATAATTGATAAGCCTTGAAACCCGACAGAGGGCCACCATGAGTTAGAAGCTACTCAACAGTAGGGAGGTTTTTGAATATTGTATGCTTTAAGCCTATACAATAAAGTAATTTAACTTTAAGTGGTTAAATACAATAGTATCTCATCTGCAAACATCTTTTTTTTCTGTTACTGTGTGCTAAGTCTGTATAGATGCATAGAGACCCTACAATCCAAAACTCAAACACACTGCCATCTGATTCTGATGCACAGCAACTCCTTTTAAAAATGAAAACAAAAACACAATAAAAAACCAAAACCAAAATTAACTCACTGCTTTCAAACTGAAACTGACTCAGCTGATTGTGTATTGGGTTTCTGAGGCTGGAAATCACACAGAAGGAGATTGTTCATCTTTGTCCTGAGAAGCTTCTGGTGGATTCCAGCCGCCAGAAAGGCATTACCTGTAGGCGAGCAGAGCCACTCCCTCTGGACTCAGCCCCGAGAGCTCCCTACTATTGTTGTTGTTAGGTGAATGTAACAGTGGGGTCAAGCATATCAGACAGAGACTGTGAGCATGGCACAGGACAGGGCCAGGTTCAGATCTGTTGTTCACGGGTTGCCTGTAATCCCCTGTGAGACAGAGTGAAGCTGTCTCAGAGGGCTGACTAGGTGTAATTACAGAGCTCAGAGCCATGCCATTTCTTTGCACAGTGGCTGGTGGGTGGAGCCACTGATTTCTGAGTTAGCAGCTGAGCACTTACATTGCACCACCCCAGTGGGTTTTCAGAGGCACTAAATCATATGGGATATTGCCCATCCTTCTACAGAGCAGCTGGTAGATTTGAACTGCTGAGCCTTCGGGAATGCAGCGAAGTTTCTTACTGCTAGGCCACCAGAGCTCAGTCCTTTATTTCCTAACACTTATTTTATTAGTGTTACTGATCAGTATGTGGAAAGTTATTATTTTAAATAATAACTTAGTACTTAGATCAATACTGAGTGCACTTATTTAGTTTACATCCCATCCCATTACCATCAATTAATATTAAATGTGCTTTAACAATTTTAAGTTAAATGTTTTATTAGATATCTAAGTAAATGAGTGTATCAATTAAGAATTCTGAGTTGCAAATAAATACAAAATTCAGGTTTCTTCAGTGTGCAAGAAACCTGGCAATGGTTGGCTCAGTGATGTCTTTAGGGACCCCGTTTTTCTAGTCATCCCTAGAGCACTGGCTCTTACTCTCATGGTGGCCATATGGCTGCTGCATCTCCAGGTACCACTTTTATATTCCAATGAAGAATCAATGAAGAAGAAGTTGTGAGTAATGGAGCCATATGTGCTCCTTTTTCAGTCTCTCACTGAATAAACATCTACTTTCTGGTTTCCTATAGACAACAGGAAAGTGGTTAGGGACAGGGAGACTGTGGATAAGAAACATGAAATATTCAGATCAAGAATGTACTGAAGGCACACACCAACAAATCAAAGATTTTATCTAAGTCTAAAATGGCTCCTTCATGAATATGCATGAGAAACATTTTACATGTTCAGAAAGCTTCATGTCACTGAATCAAACCTGGAGGGTCAACGAGGATGAAAAAGGAGGGAGAGGGGAGCAAAATTCAATAAACAGGTAAACTGGTAAAGGGCTACACAACAAGGGTTTTATAAGAAGTGCAATTAATTACAGTAATCAGATGTAATTACTGTTGTAACAAAAATGTGTTTAAATTACAGAATGAAATAATTTATTTGTAAACTTTCACTCAAAATTTTCTTAAAAAAATAAAAATGTTTACTGACTGGTAGAGTAATATACTATGACTAAAGCATTAACTTTTATATATTATTATGTTATTATGTAAGTGGCTTTCTATTTTTTATGAAACATGGTAGGGACACACTGAAAAAGAATGCTCTGAATTTTCATATGTGGACTAAGGCAAACCAGTATATCTAGTTTGTTTATTAATTTAATAAATATTTATTCAAGAATGCTGTGAAATTCTGAAAATCTAAAGAGATTGGCTTTTGAAGCAGCCAGATGGAGTGGGAGAGAAAGAGAATGAAGTTCTGATCATTACAGGATGGCAGGTGCTACCTTAGAAAGTACCATGGTCTGGAAAAAGGGCTGATCCCTTCTATGGGACTTAGAAAAGATCTGTTTAGGGAGGGCTTCATTACAGGAAATAAAATTCAAACTGAGACTCAAAACAGAAATAGAAATTTACACCCAGAGGAGGAAGTGCGATATTCTTGAGGCCTATCTTCGTGAGCATCCTTCCACGTTAAAAGGGATGGCTGGGAACACTCACAAGAATGTCAAACATAGCCATAGCATGACCATTATTGGTTCAGTTCTCCTGGGCAGACCCAGTTGCTGGCTGTTGTCTTGAAATCCTGTCCTGTTAGTGCCTCCTTTCACTCTCCAAATATCTGGATTTGTATGATAAAAAATATAGATGCTTTACTTACTAAATAAGGTGTTATAATATTTTCCTATAACCAATGGGAAGCTATCAGAGGCTTTGACTTAAAAAAGTTAATGATCCTATTTGCATCTTGGAATTTTGAGTATCAATGAGTAAAGGAGGAATAGAGTAAAAAACTAGAGGCAATCAATTCAATAGTTAGGCAATTGTTTTAGCATTTACTATAGGTTTTACTTAGTTAATCCTACTAATGATCCTAACAGATCCATTCTGTTACCCCCAAGTTATGGATAAGAAATCAGAAGTTAAATGACATGTCCAAAGTAATATAGCTAGTAAGTGAAGATGCAGAGATTAGAATACACATCTACCTGATTCTAAAATTGGGGTTTACTGCTTTCCCTTGATTAGGTAGGCAACACTGAGAATGGAGAAGAAAGAGTATTTAATGATGATTCTAAAGTAGAAGCGAATTGGAAGAGGCTCCAAACATTCCATTAGATGGCAGCAAATTGAAAAGCAGAAGTTTGAGGGGTTAGGCAAAATGCTTAGGCTTTAGTCATGCTTTCTATTTCGAGTACCACTGAGTTACCCAGGAAGATGCAAACCAGGAATTAGGAGACAGATAAGGGTTGTACACAAATTTGAAAGTATTCAGCATAGCGATAAGAGGAAATGAAGCCTTAGAAGTAAATATGGTCACACACGGAAAGAGGATATACTAAGAAAGATGATGAGGTGAAAACCTGGGAAAGATTTACATGAAAACGGGAGAAATGGAAACATGGAGAAGAGATCAGGAAAGAGTGGCTAGAGACAAAGGATGCATGTCAAATACTTTAGGGAAGCACAGAAAAGGAATAAAAAGAATGTGTAAGTGGTGAGTCTGCTGATCTTATAAAAACAGTTGAGGTTAGAGGAAGACAGCAGAATGCAGGGAATTGAAGAGTGAATGGAACATCAGCAGTAAAAGAATAAACAGAAAACAGTGGAAGCTCTGTAAGCATGCCAGGGTAAAATAAGAATGCTTAAAGAAGCCTGACCATGCTAACAGTTGAGAACAAAGGGTCAGGAGAGATGAATCTATGAAGGTAAAAAACAACTGATGAAGCAAGATGTAGCTTAATTTCATTTTAGATGAAGTGAAAGAGGTTGGGATTAAGAGGTGAACAACAATAGGCTCTGGTAGCCTAGTGGCAAGAAGCTGCACTGCAATCCCAAAGACAGGCAGTTCAAATCCACCAGCTGGTCCACGGGAGGCTGGGCAATTTCCCGTGAAATTAACCTCCTCTGAAATCCTGCCGGGGGGTCAGCTATGTGTTAATTCCAACTCTATGGTATACAACAACAACAATGGTGAAGGAGTTAGCTCTAGAATTAATCAAAGAGGTTGGACTCGCTCAGCATTTCTTAAGCTCAAGGTACTGAAAAACAAAGTCAAGCCTTGAATTGCAATACTTAAGGATGATTTGGGCAGAATATGAAATGATGCAGGAAATAATAAAAGAAGATGAAAAGAGTATACAGAGTCACTGGACCAAAAGGAAATGGCAGACACAGAAGAATTTGATGAAAAAAGAGCCTGTGGTGATGAAGGAAGAAGTTCAAGCTGCTCTGAAAGAACTGGAAAAAATCAAGGCCCCAAGAATTGATGGTATAACAACTGATAGATTTCAACAAACAGATGCTGCAACCCTAGATGGGCTCACCAAGTTGTGTCAAGAAATCTGGAGGACAACTACCAGGACAACTGACTGGAAGAGATCTATATTTGTTCCCATTCTAAAGAAAGTTGATCCAACAGAGTGTGGAAATTATTGAACAGTATCATTAATATCACATGCAAGCAAGAGTCTACTGAAGATTACCTAAAAACGAGTGGAACAGCATATCAACAGAGAAGTGCAGGCAGGGTTTAGAAGAGGCCATGGTACTAGGGATATTATAGGTAATGTTAGACAGATCTTGACTGAAAGCAAGGAACACCAGAGAATCTATGTTTTATTGATTATGCAAAGGCATTTGACTGTGTGGACCACAACAAACTGTGGATGACTCTAAGAAGAATGGGAATCCCACAACACGTGAATGTG